TTCCCCTGCTCAAGGATGGGAGCAACTTCATAGAAAATGGGGTACGCTATGCTGGCTATGCAGAGATGACTCAAGATGAAGTGGTCCAAGCAGGACCCCTCCCCACTGGATGGTCAGCTCAATGAGCAGAGCTAGGCACTCATACAGTTATAACTATGGCACAGTCTATAAAACTGTGGGCTTCTCACAGCAGAGGGCACTTATTAAAATTAAACAGGATATAATATAGTTATTTGAGGCAATGTGGAAATCTGACAAAATAGCTATAATACTTTTTTAATTCCAAGGTTTGCTCTGCCTCCATAGGCAGTTGTTATTTGAGGCAATGTGGAAATCTGACAAAATAGCTATAATACTTTTTTAATTCCAAGGTTTGCTCTGCCTCTCCATAGGCAGTAACAATGGGCCAGCATTTATAACAGGTTGTAGAGACTTTCTCTTGGGCTTATCCAGTATAAAGTCACAGGGGTTAAAATTGTGCAAATATTTTTAAAAAATATTCAAGGGTAAATTAAATAAAAAAGACCTCCCTGTGATGTTAAAATTTAGAAAAGGACCCCTTTCTGACCTATATAGAAAGGGCCATATGAGTCACTTATAGTTACTCCCACAGCTATCAAGGTAGCTGAAACTCAGCTGCACCACTCTAGAGTAAAACAGAATTCCAGGGAATCCGACTCCAGGAGGCCAAGAGACAACGCACTCAAAGCCCTGCTCTCACCACACCGGAAGCTGGTGAGTCTACGCACGGCTGAAGAAGGAGAACTACAATCTAGATATAGACTCTTATATTGTGTCATACTGTTAAGAGATGCCTTTACAAATTGCTGTGACCCCTTAGCTAAAAATTTAAACAATGAATCAAGGATTTGATTCTACCTAAAATCAGTGGGGATTGTAAGACTTGAATAGGCTAAAGTGACTCCATGCTAATAGGCCAGACTGTGCTTCTTCATATGCTAATTGCTACCTTGGTTAACAGCCCGCCCGGGGGCAAATGGTTTGACAAAAGGTGACCCTAGAACATTTCCTGCATAAGATAAGCAATGTGTTTGCAGTCTTGTTCTGTGAATTCCCTGACTCTTTGTTTAGAAAAACCTTATAAAAAGTACCTCAGCCCCTGAGCAGTTGCCTCTCTGAGCCACCTGGCTCCGGGAGTGCCGTCTGGCCAGACTAATAAAGGTCTCTTTTCCATCTAGCCTGGTGTGTTCCTTCCTGGGTTTCTCGGTTCTCTGTCGTGTTCCCGGAGCCTCGCTGGGTGTTAGGGCCCAGCATCGTGGAGGCCTTTCGGCTGTTCATGCTCCGTGGAGTGGAAGTGAGACTTTAGGTCTTACATACTCACGGAGCCCTACTTTCTCTTCCCATGCTGCCACTTTGATTCAGCCATAGGTTACAGAAAAGGGTTTCTAAATGGAGATAAAGCCTTATCTAAAACTCGTAACAGGGGCCGGGATTTAGCTCAGTGGTACCACACCTGTCTCACAAGCTCAAGGTCCTAAGTTCCATCTCTGGTACAAAAAAAAAAAAAAAACAAAAACAAAACCTAAAACTCACAATAGGCACACAATTGTTCTGGGGTATCTGTCATGTAAAGTTCTTGCTTCTCCAGGAAAACAGATTAGCTTATCCTAAGTCTGTGTTTTATAAATGGAAAAACTGAGCAGAGGAGGCAGATTACTTCCCAAACGTCCACCACTGATATGGAATAAATTTAAAAATCAGCCAGTCCTCTGGACTGACAAAACAAAGATAATCTCCACTATGATGGCCACCTCAGGAGGTATTCCAGAACCCCAGCCCTCAATGTCACCAGTTTAGCTGTAAGAATGGAGTCTCTTTCTTAGAAATGCATCTGGTCATAGCTAAGAAGCCTCTATGTAGAAAGATGCAGGCAGTAAAGAGAGGCAACTTCAAGAAAAATAATGATGTTAGCACACCTTAAATTATAGAGGCAAGACAAACCACATAGAAATCTCTACCATATACAAAAACATAAACCATACAACATGGTCCTGGAGGTGTGATGCTACTTTAACAGCTTTGTAAACTTACAATATAATTTAGTTTTTGCACCTCAATGATACTCAATGTTTAGCCTGGGTTGAGTCTAATAATGCAGAATTTAATTACAATACACTTAAAGACGGAACAGATGCTACTCCTTCTCAAAATGACAGAAGCCGCAGCACCAAACCACATTTTCACCCCTGTGCTGACCTGTGACCAAATGTCAGTATGAGGATTGAACAAGCATGAGGATTCTGAAGTGGGGGAACTTCTTACCTTAAATCTCTGAGGTTGGTGAAACTGAATTGTTGCCTTTTTCTGGTCAAAATCTTTTCTCAGCTGAAGAAAATGAACTTTGCCATCTTTATTTAAAACCTTTTTCTTCCCATTGACACAGCGGCAGACATTCACATCTCTTCCGTAGTACAAACCCTGGCTGCACAGACTCTTCAAATCTGTGAGCTTGAAGAGAGATTGGTAATATGTGGCTAGTGCAGGGTCATCCCTCTGAATGAGGAGGGGCTTCTTCTCCCAGAATTCCTTGAAAAAAGTCTCTGTCTTGATGGGTGAGATTAAACTTTCAAAGAGACTGCTGGGGCTATCAAAGTTTAAGGTGGAAGCCCCACCAACAGCCTCCACCTTCACCTGTTTCCTGGGAACAGGACCTTCTTCCTTCCCATTCTCAGGAGGCTTCACTTTCTTCGGCATTGTTCTGTGTTCAAGACAAAGCAAGGAGGAAATGTAAATCTACCAAAAGAACAAAACACACGGTTAGGTCTCAGAAACACCAGTACTGGTGTTAGTGGATCATATATGCACTATGTAAGGAACATCATACCTTCCTGAGAATGCTTCCTAAGTCAGTGCTTTCTCCAGGATATGAGACACATTACAGCAGCACCATTTCTTCAGCCTCAAACACCACTCAGATTACACATTCATCTAAAGGAAAACATGCACGTCTTACACACAAGCACTAAATCTTTGAATTCATCATTTATTAGGGTGTATAATTATCCCAAAGTAATCACTCAACTGTCTCAGCAGTTCCTGGTCAGAGGCTTAGCCTGTAAATCTTGAATTTGGCTGCCATCAGCACCACGTCCTGAATCTAAATAGATGTAGTTGGAGTTACAAACATTTGATGGCAGACAACCAATAGCTGTCCACTGCCAGGTGCTGCTCTTCATCACAGCACCACAATCAGTGTTTGGCAGGTGGGAACCAACATCCCTGGAACGGCAGTGTCACCTGGTGGCTGAAATGAGATGCTGCCTGATCCCAAGACCATCCTTCACTTCCAAACCTGAGCTTTGTTTTGAAAACTACCACTTTATCAGAACACTTTCCCCCATTAAAAAAAAAAAAACAAAAAACAAAACAAAACAAAGAAAAAACCACTAGGGGCTAAAAAGTGAAGTCTAAAAATAGTTATATACCAAGTCTTTAAAAAGCTGTAACTTTGTAACTGAAAACATAAAACACAAACATCATTGACATAGCACTTCCCTCACATGCACACAAATCACCAGAGCATTTTGTAGTTTATGATGCACTAGACCTGAGATGGAGCTGGAGATTTTTCTTCTCTTCTCCCCCCATCACCCTGCTCTCTCTCTCTCTCTCTCTCTCTCTCTCTCTCTCTCTCTCTCTGTGTGTGTGTGTGCATACAGTGCCTTCACACAGGGCTACATTCTCAGCCTATTTTTTGAGACAGGGTCTTGCTACCTTGCCCAAGCTGGGGAAACTTGTAATACTCTTCCCTCTGCCTCCCAGAGTGCTAGGATTACAGATGTGATACCATATCCAGAATGAAATTTCTAACATGCTCTCAAGTAGTTATGCTGTTGGTGCATGCATGTTACACTTGAGGGTAGGATGAGAATACTACCAAGCATTCCCAAGTCTCAGAACTTCCCCAAACTACAATTACTGTTACTGTCACACTTATGAGACACTTACAAGAACTCCACATCTTCTGGGTTCAAGAATTGTAATTTAAATTATGCAAATGTCTGGAGGCTAAAAATTACAGACCAAATACCCCTTAATCAAAATGCTTAGGACTAGAACTGTCTGGTTTTGGAATTTCTGCAAATATACAATAAGATACTGTGGGGATAAGGACCCAAGTCTAAACCCAAAATTTGTGTGATCTTTCTATCACTGCATTTTTGAAATGATCAACTTAAAAGATCAAAGATTTACTTTGACTCATGATTTCAGGGGTTTCAGGCTATTATGGGCTAGCATTGTTGCTTTTGGGCCTGGAGCAAGACAGATCATGGTAGGGAGCACGTGATGGGGCAAAGTTGCTCCCCTCACAACAAGGAGGCATTGGGGTCTCAATACCCCTTTCAAGGGCCTTTCTCCATGGCCTAACTTCCTCCCACTAGTTCCACCTCATGAAGGCTTTACCACCACCCAGTAGTACCACAGGCTAGCATCATGGGCTTTAAGATTCAAACCACAACAAATCCATTTATGTTTCACATAAACCTTATAAACATAGCCAGAAGGTATCTTTATACAACTCTTATCCGTAATTTGACTGATTTGTCACATGAAATTTTACATGTACATCATTTAGGCAAAGTATGTTGTATTCTAGAATATTTCATATTTTAAATGTTGAGATTTGAGATGCTCAACCTGTACTTTTTTTCTTTCTTTCTGGGAAGGAAATGCTTTCACCAGATTCTTAAAGATGCCCATTTCCCAAAAAAGTTGAAAATTATTATGCTTATAAATAACCAATTTTTCCAAAGACCAGTAACTTATTTATAAGGCCCAATGCTTCTATTTTGTTATCAGAATTGCACAAATGTTGTTTTTTCTCATCATTATAACTAGGCACTATTTCAGCTGTACTGAGGGCTGAATAAGTAGAATATTTGAGCCTATGAAGTAAACACCAAAGAATAATGTGTTACACATTGCAGCTAATTTATAAAAAAAAAAAAAAACCTTAAAATGCAACCCAGATAGAGACTGAACAAATTAGAAAATGAAAATGTTAAAATGTAAAATTCTATAATGGTCTCATTTTAGCTTTTAATCTTCTATCAACAAATAGCTTAGTTCTTTCAAAAGACACATGGGACCATAGTAGGTCACCAATAACCTACAGTACAGGAGTAAGCTTAGTTTTGAAAAACCTGACTTTAGTGTTTTAGGATATGGGTCAATGAGACACATTTTCTGGACAAGATGCAAAAATCCTCAAAGATACTGGCAAACAGAATGCAGCAAATCATCAAAAAGATCATACATCATGACCAAGTAGGATTAATTTCAGGGATTCAAGGATGGTTCAACATATACAAATCAGTAAATGTAATATACCACATAGACAATAGAAGCAAGGACAAATATCGCATGATCATTTCAATAGAGGCAGAAAAAGTATTTAACAAAAGCCAACATCCATTCATGATAAAAACCCTGAACAAAATAGGAATAGAAGAACTTTACCTCAATCTGATTAAAAGGCATCTCTGACAAACCAGCCAACATCATACCAAATGGAAAGAAACTGAAAGCTTTCCCTCTAAAATCAGGAATGAGACTAGGATGTATACTATCACCACTTTGGCTCAATATAGTTCTCAAAATATTAGAGCAGTAAGACAAGAGAAAGAAATAAAGGGACAGGGAAGGAAGAAGCTTAAATTATTACTATTTGCTGATGACAAAAGTCCTCTCCCTAGAAGACCCCCAAATCTCCACAAGACTTCTAGAACTAACATCCAAATTCAGTAGCATATCAGGATACAAAGTCAACACTCAAAAACCAATACCGTTCCTATACACCAATAACAAATTCATTGAGAAGGAAATTAGGGAAACGATACTTTTCACAACAGCATGAATAAAAATCAAATACTGTACTTACGAAGTAACCTAACCAAGGAGGTAAAAGACCTTTACAATGAAAACTACAGCAAAATGAAAACTATAGCACTATGAAAGGAAGCTTGATGAGGATATTAGAAAATAGTCAAAATGGCCATGTTTCCAAAACTGTTCTATAGACTTAATTTAATCCTAGGCAAAATATGAACAATATTCCTTACAGAATTAGAGAAAGCAATCCTATAATTCAATGGAACCAGAAGAGATCCAGAATTGCAAAATCAATTTAGGCAACAAGAGTAAAGCAGGGGGATATCACAATCCCAGACTTCAAGTTGTACTACAAAGTTATAGTGATAAAAACAGCATGATATTGGGAAAAAAAAAAAAAAGACTTGTAGATTAATGGAACAGAATAAAAGATAAAGGAAATAATTCCAGGCACATTTAGCTATGTTATTTCTGAAAAGAAGGCAAATCCCTTCACTGGAAGAAAGAAAGCCTCTTTAACAAATGCTAGGAAAACTGGCTATCTACCTGCTGAAGGTTGAACCTAGACTCCCACCTCTCACCATGCACTAAACTAAAATCAGAATGGTTCAAAGATTTAAGCATCAGAGCAGAAACAATCTGCTGGAAGATAAAACACGTAAAACTCTTGAAGACATAAGTATAGGCAAAGACTTTCTGAACGAGATAACATCAAGAATAAAAAATGGGATCACATCAAATTAAAAACTTTCTGCATAGCAACAGAAACCACCACCAGTGTGAACAGACAACCCATAGAATGGGAAAAAATTTTTGCTAGCTAGTCCTCAAAGGACTAATATCTGGAATACATAAAGAATTCAGAGGGTTCCCACCATCATTCATTGACAAGTGTGGCTTGCTATGCCTAAACTGTACAAAACAGTATGATTTATACTGAACACCTGCTGTCCTAGGGGTCTGGAATTTAGGTATGTGCCAGGCTGCCTAGTCACGAGTCCCAACAAAAATCATGAGCTTCTGGCTGACAATATTTCAGGCCTGAAGAAAGAGTAGGTGCTGGAGCAAATAAGCACATCTACATGACTTCACTAGAAGATTCCAGGAAGCTTGTAGCTGGCCACTCTAGAACTTCATCTATGTGCCTCTTCCCTTTGCTAACTGTGCTTAGTACCCTTCCCTGTACTAAACCAGTAGTCTTCCCAGTAAATTGCTGAAGCTTGATGGTCTTGGGAATACTAAGAAATCGCTCACATCTAATTTTTAAAACTAATTATTAGTCTGGTTTATTAGGTTTATATTATTAAAGGTATCCCAAGTAGTTTATATTTAGCCACTTATCTCTCATCCCTCACATATGGTCACCTTGATATTTATTTGAAGGATGTAAACAGCTAGAAGATATAAGAGAAAGGCTTGCTTTAAGTACATTTTTCCAGACAATATGGCTAGACAAAGTGCACAAAATACTTAAGACAAAATAAAATCACTGACACAATTTTTCCTACCTACAATCACTAACAAAAATAAACCCCAAGACTGCATAACAAATGCTTTTGTTAGAATGTAAATTTCACAACTTATACAGCCAAAAGTTACATCATTTATTGTTTCTCAGTGTTCATGTTGAAATGATTTGAGGCTCACTCAGTTCATTGGAACTTAGCTTAGAGGTTACTGGGCAAACATACTATTTCTCACATTACTCATTATATGACAGCCATTCCTTCTAACAGCTTTTGGAGGGTAGAAGGAAGAACAGATAACATGCCATACTCCATTAAACATTCAAAATTGTAAGATTTATCACAATTTCAGACACTAAAAAAGTAAGAAAGCAGTAGGTGCGCTGGTATACCCTGTAAGCCTAGCTATTCAGGAGGGTGAGGGGAGCAGAAGGATCAATGAGTCTGATGTGCCCCTGGATGACTTAGTGAGACAGTCTCAAAAATATGGGACTGAGGATGTAGCTCAGCGATAGGCAAGAGTTCAATGTGCAGTCCTGCAAAAAAAAAAGTAAAAAAGCATATCTGGAATCTAAGAACTATAATAGAAAATGCTTATAGAATAGTACAGCCAACACAAGCCTGCCTAGAAAATTCACAGACCACCCGGAGAGCAGAGAGTAAGTATTTCTATAAATCGACAGGGAAAAATACCCAGGCTTTTGAAAACCAATTGTTTTCAACAAAAAACACAGTTGGGGGAAGCAGATGGTTTGATCAGTGGGAATTACTCTCTTGATGGCAGCCAGGGGCTTCCTTATTCAATAGCATTCAAAGAGCAAAAAGACTCCACGGAGGTCCACATGGGAAGGGAGGTGAGTCCTTACACCTGAGCACAGTGTCACAGTAGCGGGAGGGCCACAGCATAACCAACAAGGCTTAACAGGCAAATTCTTGGGCCCACAGCTAGTCAAATGAATTACCCTATTCAAGACCCGGGCCAACAATCTACATTAACATACCTAAGCTCCCCTGGTTTATTTGACAGCCACTAAGATTTTAAACAGTTGAATTCAACTCAAACACACCTGGAAAAAATGATATTGCCTCTAAAAAGTTGCTAAAAACATTTCTCAGGACACAGAAATTTTCATTACTCTAGTGAATTTCTCCTGTTGATCCCAAGCCATGACTGGCATTTGCTATTAGTTTTATTTTGGAGAGAAAGTGAATTATAATTCATTAATATATTTTGATGACCACGAGGTTATAAGGATAAGGGCCAGGCATTAGTGGCTCTCTACTTAAAGATGGTAAAACAGATTCTCTAAAGATGATCCAGGTGAAAGAAACTCCTGGACCGAAGGTACAGCTGATTAGTCGTGAAATCAGAGCCCCCGACTCTCAGGCCTGGACTTCTCGAAGGACAGTGGATGACCTAATTGTAACCTGTCAGACAGGCCAGGCACAGCAGCCATTCTTGGGTTACCTTCCGATAAACCGTGTAAGTGGAGGCCTAGCCTGTTAAAGTCCGAAGTGAGCTGAGAGCCTCAGTCCCGCCTTCCCACTCGCGTTTCCGGCTGAGA